TTACCATTAAAAAAAGAACCTAAACAGTGCACCAGAAGAAAATAAATGGAGCTGATTAATTTACAATGCGGTATAAATCTAATTCAAAGACCTTAAAGGTGCAGATTTTATGGACATTTTTCATACTTGTCAAAAAATACGAACGCTCAATTACGAATTGAGTTAAGAATAATCGCTTTATTTGGAAATATATTTATACGGGAACAGGTCATTTTTACTGTTGAAAATTAGTAGAGAGCTTGATATCTAACGTAAATCTCAATGATTTCTACAGTTATGCACGACATCTTACCCGATACATTTCTTACCTATGGCACTTGAACCTGAGATCTTCAGCAACAAAAAATATAATAAACTTATCGAAAAACAGCAATAATGAAAATACAGTTGCATATTATATCTAATTTCTGGAATAAGAAAACAATAATGCTATACTTATTCAATGCAATCATAGCGGACGTGAAAATTATTTTAAATACAATGAATGATACTTCGAACATGCCCACTTTGAAATACTACGTCCAACTTGGTATAGTCCTGTTCGAACGCGAAAATACTTGTTTGGTATACGTTTGGACTACGACTCAAGTTCGATGAGTCACGACTGAGCGCACTTCCCTTGTTAACTTCTATCGAGACAATGTTACGACTGCCCACGAGCATCAGTGCGGCTGTTATTCACTACACAACCCATGTGTCACTACACAACCCGTGTCTCTGAATTTTCAAGTGATTTTGTGTTTCTTCGCGTAAATGTTTTGTAAATTCATTAATAATGGCTTTTAGGAAAGATGGAGGTGAAAAAAGGAAAATGTTGAAAAGCATAAAAATGGCATGGGTATCCGTCACTTGGGCTATCGTTAACCATATACCTAGAACGATGGTGCCCACGATCGTGAAAAACAAAGACGTCGAAATTCACTGCGTTAATCGGCTGACGTTCAGAAGGCTGTGAAATCGATTACTAACGAAAGATCGGAGACGTTAGTGCATATTGAGAAATTATTTTTGGTCTGGATAGCAGAAAAACATTTATTTAGAGTATCATGCGTAGGGCTTTGTTTATATACAGTATATAGTATTTACCCATTGCATTTGTATTTTAGTGTTAAACAATGCTATAAAGAGAGAGCTATGCGATTTTTTTTATAATAACTGATTAATTATTTTCCCGTTATTTCTTAATGGAGAAGTATGTTTGATACACGTCCAAGGATCTGTAACGGACTAATGAAGTACACCTAGGTACCACTGTATATTAAATTTTCAGGTAGCCGGGCCCACTTCATTTTCATTTCCAATCTGTATATCCAACTAGTTTCAGATGTACGAAGTATATACAAGGCTTAATTTTTGAATTTCTTCAGAACCTACATGTCACGTCGTTAGCTCATCCATTCTTTTAATTTATACTTACTTATTCAAGCAGAGGGGTGCGCGCGCAACTTTCTGCTACGCAGTTATGCCCGAACACTACATACTCCCAGATATTAACTACACGCGAAGACAAAAGACGCTCTTTTACCATTCCCAAACTTCGAATTCTAGTAATTCATAATGTGAATAAATGGTAATAGTAGAAACTCGGGTCAGGAACGCCTCTCCTCACAAATAAATCGGATCAAGAACAAAATTTTTGAACAAAAGCAAAAAAAATCTCAATGGCCAACTGTGTCTCGAGTAACGAACACACAAGATAGAAACAATGATTTGCGAACGTATTTCGAGATCATCTCTAAGACATAATTCAAACTCAGAGACTTCGAAAAAATATCATTTCAATATTCTTCTTTGCTTAAATTTCATTGACGAAACCTGGCAGCTTAGCTACTTAAAGGAACTTTCAGCTACTTAAAGGAACTTTAGAATTCAACTTGGAAGAAATTGTTGCTAGATTCGTGTTAAAGGCAGAGACTCAGACTTTGAAAAAGTTTTTATTACCTATGATATTACGTGTTTAGGAGTTAAAAGTGAAGATATGCAGAAGTTACTACAGGAAAAACGTTCTCCTGAAATGAGAGCTCAGAAACGAAAAACTAGAACAATTTCAAAAGCAGAAACAAAGAAACGACCGAAATATTTTCAGAAGAGTAGGAAGGAAGAATAGATAATGTTAGCTCTTTGATTTGCGAAACGTGTACAGAATGGAGTAAAGTGTAAAATTTCAAGAAATTAATCAATGTACTGTATATTTTCATGCATTCTGTACGCGTTTATTACTTTTTTTAAATCGGCATTTTTACCTTATTTTTGAGAACGGTTAAATATTTGTCGGATTTCACTGCGTATTTTTCGAAAAGCTATTTTATCATTGTAGTCAAGCCCCCTTTGATCGATGAAATACAACAAGAGTTTTTACAGAAGTCATTGTTATGCAACAGAAGTCATTGCTGTCTAGGGATTAATGTAATTGACAGCACCTTCTTCGTTTGTCTTTTCTGTGTCATTCTATAGATTTTATGTTCTTGCGACATTTCAGACGATATCCGCATCACTCAAGGACCGAAAGCCTGGCTCAGTCGAATTGCAATCGAACCATTCCTCGGTGATTTCCCGATCGACATTTTCGAAGGATTTTAAGTTTTCATATTTTTGAATTACATCTTCAATTATTACCTCGGCTTTTTCACAATTAGATTAATCTCTGACTTCTATATTAGGAAGAATATTTTTCCGTGATCGAATCAATGTTACTGGATTTAATTTCTACTACTCTTGCGCATAACGCTGAGTGCGTGAGTGAGTACTGTCACGCACACATAATCCGCAAACCGGATAATCCGCACCCGAAAAATCCAGAGTACACAACATATTACTTTCATACACCAGCTGAGCATTTTCAATGATAGTGTCATGTCTCATTTTAGGACGATTTTAAAAGATAAACCAAACACAAATTAAATTGCAGAAACGTTTAGTAAGACAAAGGCTAAATGCGTTTCAAGCGGAGCTGAGAGGCAAAGAAGGAAAAGAAAATCTTTAGTAAGCTGTTTTAAAGGAAAGGGATTCCATATCTAAACAATAACATTTCTTCCCTATCATTTTTTTTTTTTTTTAATCAGCTATCACTTTGTTCGCACATATGTGGTAAAATTAAATTAAATTTTTATATATTTGTATATTGTTGTCTGAGTGTGCATGTTAGATTCAATAATTTCCATTGGTTTTGTATGTTGAACTTAAGTACTAAGGAAGCCCTATTGTAAAAGTTTAAATCAGCAATCATCTGTGGTCAAAGAATATATGAATGTAATTTAAATCAACTCCTACCGAGAAAACACTCTCACTTCATGAATTTTTGACAACGGTTTTTAGGAACGCATTGCATTCGTCTACCGAAGTTTTACTTCGTGCTTCATTTATCGAAGTCAGTGATGCATCGAAACCAGTTCAATTCGGAAGCATTCATTAATTATTTATAATAAGCTAGTTCCGTATAAATATTTGCTTTTGCTTACTTTCACTTAGAAGGTCAATTTAATTGTTCCATTATTTACCAACAGATACTATAATTATGATATTTCAGTTTCGAAAATTTATTTTTATTCATTCTCAAACGATAAAAATGGCAATAAGGAGAATCGGAAAACTTTTTCTCATCTCAAAACTTTTGTATTTTTTTACTAAGCCAGTAAGAAAAACTACTAGTATAATATCACTGCCTAAGTTTGTTCTAAAAAAACACAGCTTAATTTTCTGTCAATAGTACAAATTAAAATTCTTCGTGAAAACAAATCGTTACAGCTTAGAAAAATTATTTCATACGGCTAACGGAAATGAATTGGCAGTTTAATATTTAAATAAAAACTAATAATAAAATAATGTACCTTTGAACTTTGTTAGCATTTAATGAATATCATTCAATTAAAATATCCGTAAATAACTGCAATACAGAGCGAAAGAAAACATTGTCTCATCCAGTTAATCAAATAGCCGATAGATGGCAGCACCAAAAATGAGAAGCTGCCGAGAAAGAGCATTTTCTGAAAACTCTGACGTGACGCAAATGCACTAAAAACTTGATATAAAACGACATAGTTGCTTATCATACAGCTTAAAAAATGTATTTAATCATTATTGAAATATGTAATTACATATTAAGTCATAATATGAAAACAATATGCTATAAAGCTACAAACTGTTTTTCTCATATCCCTCTCATAAAATTAATTTTAGATTTTTATTATTATTTTAAAGAGTTTTGAGAAAACCCTGCTTTTCGATCAAATTATTAAAAAAAATCTCAGATACCTTAGCATCACTACTACTACTAACCTCGAGCTTATTAAAATAATGAGAAGTGTAGAAAAACAAAATATTATTTACTATATGAAAATACTACAAAACATTTTGGAATTTATTTTAAACATAAGCTGTTCAAGCTAAAACAGATTAAATTTTCTGATGGGATTTATTGCGAATCTTATAATAGATTCTACAAGCTCTTCACTAATATAGAGTTTTTATTAGTTCCTGATTATAACCTACCCTTACAAGGTCGAGGTTAAACGTCTCATGTTTTAAGGGGCTACAAAATAATTTCTATAATTCCTTATATTACTAATTTTTGTCCATAAAAACACAGAAATAGTGTGGTTTGAAGTGTTCTTTTCAGGTGCTTGGGGGTTCTTGAAAGATACTGTGCTAAGTTGTTTTAAAATCGGTCCGAAGTTGTTTAATCGGGTTTGCTTCCATCAAATAATAAACAAAGATAACATAGAGTTGATATATTAATTCACAGGCTACTTATTTTTGAAGCCTCTATGCCAGTCCAAAGAAAAGTTTAAAAAGATTTTAAAATCTATCTATGTATACATCTAAATTTATACCTCGGCAAAATAAAGAAATTTTTATTTAGAACATTCATTTCTGATAGAAAATATGTAAAACACTTTACAATGCTCAGCATTAAATTCAGAATCAGTCTTATTATGTAAAGCCCCGTCACCATTATAACTCCAGAATGGCATAATTACAAGGTGGCATGAATTTGCTTTCAACTATCCTGTGCTGCCATCTATCGGAACGAATATGAAATAATACTTACCCATGGAAGAGAACCTGAGCAGTCTCTCGTCTCGAAGAGAGGTGGTTTCGGAGAGCTCGCTGCTGTCTTCGTCTTCCTCTGGCACAGACGGGACGCCCATGTCATAACCCCACCGACGACGGAATGCCTGACGACCGCCGTCTAGCCGCACGCGGGGCAACTCAAGAAAAAGGCGTTCCCCAATCTAGAAGGATAAATAATACGACATGTAATTTTCGTTCATTAATGGTCTTATATTTCCCAATACGTAAGACATTAAATAAAAGATGTTTTAGACATTAGTATGAAATTTTAAACATGTTTTAGACGATTCAGAAGAATTATCAATTCACGTTTACTCTCATACATAAAAAGAGGGAGAACAGAAGCCTTTTTGAGTCTTTTATTTAAGAAGGACGAATGAAAACTTCACTATAAAGGTTAATTAATCTTTTATTAAATAATGATGAATCTGTATGTGTGTGTATATATGCATGCATGTATATTCTTCACACTGTGGAAAAACATTAGCATTTAGTCATATTCAGTATTTAATTCATAATGCATGTTATTCATTTAGATATTAACACATAAATAAAATTATAAATTACAAATAATAAAATTTTGAAACTCGCCAGTTTTCGGTTCATCTGAGTATTATGAAATCTAAATAATTTATATTGAAGATACGCATACTATTTGGTTTATGAAATTATATGCCTGAGACCTGAGATATAATCAAAAGTCTAGAAATAACACTTATATTACACTCACTAGAATTAAAATCATTTGAATGTGGATTCTGCTCTTCTACTTTAAATAGTGAATTCTTTTATAGCATCTTCATGAAATGAGGGCCATTCTTTAACTTTCAGAAGTTGGTTGTTTTTGTTTCTTTACAGATAATCTACTAAGTGCACTTAATCTTTCTTGTGACTGCGTTATTCTTAATGTAATTATTAATTCTTCTCAGTGTTGAAAGTGATAGTTCTGCTGATGTAACTGAAGATGGTTTTGATAAAATGAATGAGGACTACTCGGAAGTTTCAATCATAATGCTATAAATATTGTTGATATTTAGATATGGTATTAATTCAAGTACAGGTTTATTTTCAAACTCATAGGAAGAATACAAAGCAATAGTTCATTTTTAAGATTTACAAAATCAAGCAGTCTGCAGTATTGGCTAGCACTTAATGCATTTAGCAATATTTTGGAAAAATCAGAATTGTAAGAAAGAAAGTTCTCTTCATTCAGAAGGGTCATGAATTCAAGTTAAGGGAAAAAACCTTTTTTTAATATTTCATTAAACACATTACAAAAAATCTTAGAGTAAAGTCACCTGATTTTATATTTATTAACATAATATTATATTTATTCTTTTTGTTGACAGTTCATTCGTCTTGTGTGCGCTGATATTTTCCCATATCGTTTCAAAATCATTTATTTCTCTCTGATGTAAGCACATATTTAGATTTTGTGATATCCTTTGCATAGTAAGCAATATAAAAGGTTTTCGTTTGTAAAATCTTGTAAAGTATGTAATAAAGTCAGTTATTTCATCACACAGCCATTTCAGAAACTATATATGAGTAGCAAAATATCAGCGAAAACATTTTAAACAAAAAATGGTACTTACATTCAGCCAAAAATTGGTGCTACTTTGGTAGACGGTTGCACGGATTTTGGCGATTTCTTTTTGGCGAGCGATACGACTTATGGTAAACCCATTGCTAGACAAGTATTTATGTAACCGATACTTGTTGTCATTTTATTAAAAATAATGCGTTTATTATGCATAAATTCCGTGTTTTAAATATTATTTATGACTTCTAAAGAATAAAAATGAATTTAATTTTGCATTTTTATTTGAAATAAAAATTTTATGTTTATGATATTTATGGATTTTATGTTGTGAGTGAGGTAATGAATGACGTCACATTATTTAAAAAATATATTTATCTAATGTTTAATATTATAAAAATTTAATGTTTTAAACATTATTTATGGCTGTAAATATAAAACAAATTAATTGCATTTTTAATATGATTTTATTATGAATGATTATTAAATATTTTAATTCTAGGCGTGATGTAATCAGCTCGCTGATGGTTACTAATATTTGTGCATTACCGCGCATTTTAAAATTTTATTATTCATCTCTTCGATTTCCTCAGTTTCAAAGCGAATGGGTGTCTCCGTTCGAAGATTGAATGTTGTAGTGGATTACCAAGAATTTGGTATCGGATAAAAAAATTGCCGTTGAGACCTTATTTGGCCAAACCTGATTCCCTAATCAAAGATTTATTTATTGTTACTAGGTCAAGGAAATTTATTTAAAATATTTGAAGGAAACCTCGCTAATTGCTCTTCAATGAAGTGCGAGAAATGTGGATACAGATGAAGATTTTTTTTTCCTGTGCTATCAATATGCGTATAGTAAAATGCTTAAAAAGTAAGTACATATTTTCTTTTACTTATTATTGTATACTTCAATTTTTATTAAAAATTTAATACATATTTTTTTTAATTTCCTGAGATATTTATTGCCACATGTTTTAATGTTAAATAATTATATCCTATAAAACTATTTTAAAGGATTTGAATTTAAGTATTGAAAAATTTTAATTCTTTTAAACGTTGGTATGATGTTTTCAATTCAACATTCAATTAAGTAATATTTTATTCCATTAAATGTTGGCGCAATGTTTTTTATTCTATTATATGGAAGTAATAATTTAACCTTACTTTAGCATTTCATACTCTTAGTAAACGTATTTATTTACATTTGTCAGCCATCTTAATGAAAACACGTTTCCAACAAAAAATAATCCATATTTTAACGATATTTATTTTTTTAAAGTTTCGAATACTTTACTATGCGTGAAATACGTAAAAACAGCATTTTTCAAGATGGCTGACGACTGTAAAAACCGCGCCAACAATTGCGCCAATGTAAATCGCCAAAAATCCGTGCAACCGTCTACCAAAGTAGCACCCAAAAATTTAATGAATCCATGGTAACTATGCATTTCTCCTATTTATTGAATCTATAACTTCATCATGACCTTTAAATGGCAACGTTCTTTTTGCCAAGAACCTACACAATTTATCAAGCATTTTAAAATTTCTCTGTTTTTAATTCCAACATCGTTATGAAGTTTTGTAGATATTTGATTCTGTTGATTTAAATGAAGATCTATTCTTGATCATTCAAATGTGGAAAGTTGTAAATTTGCTTTAATACAACAAAGAGAATTTTCATATCTTGATGGATCATGACAATATATTCAAATTAGAAAATCTATTCTTAGTCCACACACTTGTTTTATCATCTCCAAACAGCAAACAAACTTTCTTTATCATCACAACTAGTTAACCAGCTCGTTTTCGTGCATTGAGAAGCTTGAAAATGTCTTATAAATTCTGGTTTTCATCCTACAAATTCCTGTTTTTTTAATCCCACGTAAAGTGGTTAAAGAAAGGGAAGCTCTATCGTTTTCGGTTATTTCCTTTTCCTCCGAAGAAAGGTCGAAGGCTAAATGGTTTTTGAATTAGATCTTATATCACACATTCCATTTTTTTTCCACCATTACTGAAAAGTTTTTTTACAAAAAATTAACTATTAAAAGTTTAAAACATTGTTTCATGAAAATTTAACTATGCTTTGGAAAATAATTAAACAAATTTAAATCAAATTTCGATTATGCTGTGATAATAAACTTTTAAGGAAGAGAAAAAAATGAACTACATAGCTAAAACGGTGCTAAATAGTGACATAATACCTACATAGCTAAATTGGTGTGCACACGCAAAGTAGCCTGTGGTGCAACTTTCCGACCCGCAATCATGCCCAGGCAACAACATACGAAGTCTTCTTTAAAGTCCTCGGAAGAGAAAGTACCGGCGTAGTATTTAGCATGTGTTCAATTATTTCGTCATTGATGCGGTGTGTTTGGTTAGTTCATCTTTAAGGCAAGCACTGCCAAATAATTGAAAAGACACAAAGAGATAAACCTTTCTTTAGCATGATAACTACTAAGTGAATAATTTTCTTGAACTGCGTATGTTGCTTCAAATTTCTAGAAAAGGTACTTCTCTTAGTCTTGCAGTATAATGCGCCGTCATATAGAATTTTGAGATGAATGGAACTTTATGAAACTTTTATAACTATTTATGAAAGAAGTAATAACTGAGCTTTAAATCAAATGCGTTGTATAATGCAAACTTCGAAACAGAAAACTTGCCTCTACCGTACTAAAAAGTAGTAATAAATTGCTTTACATTCAGTGGTATAATATAGAATATTCTCTCCTTTTATCTAAGGCGTGATAGCATGCTAGAGCGCGAAATTCATCCAATCCTCGCATTGCGGGTGAAAAGGAGAGTGTTACGTAATGCCGTATTTGTGTTCTGTTTATTGAATAATATCCTAGTTCCTGCTTTACTGTGAAACTGTGAAAATACTGATGTCAAGTATTAACAAAGATGTTTATTCGTCAAGAAACATGTGCAGAATTCAAGTAGATAAGATTTATTTCTTTTTCTATAAATATTGAAATTGTAAACAGATATTCTAATAGTAGACTCACTGTGTCTAATTATTATTAAGGTTTATATACGTATCTATTAAGAACCTGTGCAGAACAACCGTTGACGGGTAGTCTCGGCGTAGTTCTGATATTTTTTGATAATATTTTCGTTACAAGTGGCGTCCGCGACAGGACGCAGTGAGGTTTCTGTTAGAATTATTTTGTTGAATGGTATTTTGTGAAGTAAAGCTGGTTTCATTCATCGTTTTATTATGAATCCTTTAACTGCAAAACGCGGAGGATTGCGTTCTTCCTTTACCAAGACTGTTAATGTTTTGAAAAGCGAAATTGGTAAGGATGATTTTTCAGCAGGTATAATTAAAGATAAATTTACAAAGTTGCAAATGTTACAGAAAGATATTGAGGAACTTAACGAGCAGATTTTGAATTTTATAATTTCGACTGATGTAACGCCTGAAAAAGTTAACGATGAAATGGAAAGCTGGGATATTTATAAGGATGAATTTATTACCATTTCTCGCTTAGTTAGTGAGAAATTAGGTGCCTTAGAACAGATAAATTTAGAAACTAGGTCGCAAGGTAGTGTTTCTAGTAATTCACCTCGTAATACTAGATCGTTAAAGCTCCCGAAAATAGAGCTTAAGAAGTTCGA